ATAGGACTGTCTACTTTAAAACAACTTATAATGTTCTTTTTCTCTATCAGGTATGAAGATGATAAAAAAGAATGGGCTGGGATGCTGAAGGAAATACGTTATGCGTCAGGAGCTAGTTGCCTAGCAACACGGTTAAATCTCTTCAAACTGTCTAAGCTATAAACAAGAAGGTGAAAAAAACATAATAGATAGGGAGGTGGTCTGTTTGGGTAATACGGCCTTAATTTATTGTTTTTAAAAAGCCTATACAGAGATTCCATGTAGAAATTATCTTCTGTGTTATTGTCCAAGAGCTTAGCAGTGGGCATCAAAACCTCAAAGTTATTAAATTTCAATGTAACAATCAGAGCCTAAAAAAATAATAAATATTAAATTGAACAGATTATTTCTCTTGTTAATCTGTCTCAATCAATTATAAAGGAGCTTCCTAAATTTGAGTTTATTAATCCTTTCATTTGCATTGTTAAGGTGCCTTTACACTCCTTTTTCTATTACAAATGAAACTGGAGAATGAAATATGTACATTTACATTTAAAAAAATTTTTAAATAGCAAAAACCTTTCCTCATGCTTCAAGATATAACAAGAACTCTGTGCAATATATTAAAGATTATATGCTGTGAGAAAACTTTGGAAATGCTGTCAAAAGAGTATAATAAATGGATTTCATTTGAAAGGGAAAAGTCTCTAAGTAAAAATAGTCAAATTCAAGTTGTCTTTCTTCCCTTTCTTTTTGCAACACTGGTATATTTTTTGTGATTTAAATCAAATTTAAAAATTTTAAATTTAAAACCAGTAAATCACAGTCTTCAAGTCCTTAACTGCAGTATCTGTAGTAGAAGGGTTGGGAGGCAATCTTAGGAAAAGGATTGATTCCTTAACTGCTGGGGCAGAATTTGGGGCCAGCGGGTGGTATGGAGAAGGGTGTGTATTCATTGCTTTGAGTTTTATCTATGCTTTGGAGCTACCTATTTGCAAATTTCAGATAGACGGATGACTGTATTATTCTATTTTCTTGGATGTAAAACCCTACATTCAAGTTGTTTGTTCTTACCATACACAGTAAGATGACATCTCAGTCTGTCCAAAACCATTACATTCTACTGTCTGCAAGTCATGAACTAATCATCGCTTATGGATCTCATGTACTTTCACAGACATGTTTGACTTCTAGCCTTATATGTGTTATTTTCTGAGAGGCCTGACTTGGAGTATTCCATTATTGTTAAGCAACTGCATAAAAATATGAATGTTCATATTTATAAAATAAAGCTATAGCTTTATTTTCTGTATCATAAATATGGGAACATTCAATAAAATTCAGTCATACTGTGTATCTCTGAAGTATTTGAGTACTTTTCTATATTGAACCGCACCCTGAGTATACAATCAGCAAATCCCAAAGGTGGGAAACTACAGGTTATTTAGCAGATAAATTGTTAAGAAGGAGAGATGCTAATAGGTTAAGACAGACTTAAAAGCTGGGGTCGGAGGGACTTCACTGGCAGTCCAGTAGTTAGCACTCTGCACTTCCGATGCAGGGGTCTGGGGTTCGCTCTCTGGTTGAGCATCTTCCCGAATGCTGCATGGTGTGGTCAAAGAAACTAAAATGCAAAAAAAGAATCTTTTTAAAGATTAGGTAGAGAAAAATAAGGTAGGGGTGGGGAATTATGAAGTCTAGAGATGCAAACTTGGGTGACAGAATTAAGGGAAAGTCTTTACTATAAAAGCATGATAGTGGTTACTTTGTGGGGGAGAGTGCTGACCTATGTAGACATGAGATTAAGTTGTAAAAACAATGCTTTGGGATGATGTTCTAGAATAAATAAATGTTCTAGAATTAGGTAGTGGTGTTGGTTGCATAATCTTGTGAGTACACTAAAAACTGACTATATACTTTAAAAAGTTGGATTTTATGGAATATATATCTCAATCAAAAAAAAGGGACACTTTATAACAACCAAAGTTATTTAGATAGAAAAATCATCAAACAGAAATATAAGGACATAAAGAAAATCATTTGCATCAGGCAGCCTAGAGAAAGGGAAGTAAAAGATGTGGTACATGAGAAGTCAGATTATGTGTAACAGTAAGTAAAAGGTACGTTAGGGTCATTTAATCAAGATTTCCATGTATGAATATATTAATTATACAAAAACTAGGTTTTAATTTATATCCAGAGGAAACCACTTATAACCCTCATCAGCTTAGTCATGTAATTCTAAAAGTTGGATAGTAAGATATTTCAACCTACTTGGGGGTTTAGTTCCTGTAATCATTTGCTTGGGAAATAAAACACACTCATGAATGTGGATAACAAGCACTGAAAACAGGATTTCAGCAAACACAAATGAATATCATGAGGAAATTCAAAATGAGGGAGATTGGTTACAAGGAGACATCTTTCATTTGCTTTCAATTCTGATTCTGTTTTTCAAAGAAGGTTCTGTGAAGTTCACATTTTGGAGCGCAAATCATGCACAGTAATTGGATATTTTAAACAAGTACTTCAACTAAGCCTAAACTAAATATCAATGGACCAAAACATGTCCAGGTCACATGTTCTAAAGCTATGCTTAAGATTCAAGGCACTCTGGCTAACAACTTGTTTTGGGACAGAATGAATTTCGGGGGTCACAGAGTTGGAAGATGAAGTTTCAGATGGCCAATGACCTGCACCCCCACCAAGTAGCCTGTGGGTAGTTACAATATGGCTTTCTGCTAAGCACACATATATAATTCTTGGAATAAGGGTTAGGGAGTTTATCACCCAGTAGGCTCTTAGTAACTGTGTTATGAAATAAATATAAGACAAAATCATTATCCCCTCAAAATGTATGGGATCAGACCAGGTCAAGACTGGTCTACTTTGGGGGCTTCCTAGTGGCTCAGTGGTAAAGAATCTACCCACCAGTGCAGGAGACACAGGTTCAATCCCTGGTTTGGGAAGATCCCACATGCCACAGAGCAACTAAGCCTGTAGGCCAGAACTACTGAAGCCTGCGTGCCCTAGAGCCCTAGTGCTCCACAACAAGAGAGAGAGGGAAGTCACTCAGTCGTGTCCGACTCTTGTGACCCCATGGACTGTAGCCTACCAGGTTCCTCCATCCATGGATTTTCCAGGCAAGAATACTGGAGTGGGCTGCCACTTCCTTCTCCAGGAGATCTTCCCGACCCAGGGACTGAACCTGGGTCTCCCACATTGTAGGCACACGCTTTACCGTCTGAACCACCAGGGAAGCTCACAACCAGAGAAGCCACAGCAAGCAGCAGCCCAGGCACTGCAACCAGAGGGTATTTCCCTGCTCGCCACAGCCAGAGAAAAGCCCTCACAGCAGTGAAGACCCCAAAATAAATAAATAAAAACAGTTCTTAAATAAATAAAAGCTTTTAAAAGATGGGTCTACTTTCCCCTTAGCTACAATCCCCTTTCTTTGCTTTCATTTGTAAGAAAACTATCTCCTCCCACTTTTTCTTGAAGCAGTCAGGCTTTCATAGCCACCACTTCACCAAACCTACCCTTTTCAAGGCTAACAATGATTTGCTTGTTACTAAGTTTAATGGACACTGCCCAGTCCTCATCTTACCTGAACCATCAGCAGCATTTGGCTCTTCCTCTTCTTGACTTCACGTTGGCGCGCCAGGACTTCAATCCTCAGACCTCTCCTCTCTATTCACACTCTCTTCTGATCACATTTTTGCGACTCTGTCATCTCTCATCACGTTAAAAACTGCGGTCACCTTACAAATTCATAACTAAGGCCTGGACCACTCCCATGACCTCCAGATTCATTTATTGAATTGCCTGCTTGATATCTCTTCTTAGATGTTTAAAAGGTATCACAAACTCTGTATGTCTAAAACCAAACCCATGATCTTCTCCTACCCTTCTTCCTCTTTTCATAGACTTCCCAATCTCAGTCAATGGCAATGGCATCCTTTTAGCGGCTCAGGACAAGAACTTAGAACTTTCTTTAACTCCTTTCTCTCATAGCTCATTATCCAATCAGTGAGCAAGTGGTGTTGCTTCTGCCTTCAAAGTACATTAAAAAACTGACAACTTCTTGTTACCTCCCCTCCTACTACTCTCTCCAAGTCACTTCTTGTCTGGATTACTGCAATCACCTTTTAATGGATTTTCCTGCTTATACAGTTGCCCCACTGCAGTTTTTTTTTTTTTCTCTCATCAGCTAAACAGAGTAGCAAAAGTGATCCAGTGAAAACACGAGTTTTTATTTCTTTACTAGGAACTCCCCAATGGCCTCTTATCTCAGGATAGCCAGGAGGTAGTATACATTTGACACTGTTATCAGTCTTACCCTTTAATATACTTCTAACATCCACCTCCCACTTGTTCTGCTCCAGCCACAGTAGATTCCTTGTTATTTTCAAACATGCCAGGAATACTTGCATTTACTGGTTCTTCTGCCTAGAATTCTCTACTCCCAGATAACTCCTTATGTCTTGACTCAAATATCACCTCAGCGAGCCTTTCCCAGACTACCCTACGTAAATTACACCCACCCACAATATTCCTATCACTCCCCCCACCAAGGTTCAAATTTTTCTCTACAGTTTTTAGTATCATCTAAGATATTGATATAATGAATTGTATTAATTTATTGTGTTTAACTCAACCCATGAAAGATATACTGTACTAACTCCAGTATACCCAGTGTCTAAAATAGTTCGTGGAACAAAAAAAAATTAAAACAAAAAATAAAATAGGTCTTGGCACATAGTATGCACTCAAAGAATGAATAACAAACTATTTAAGTTTCCTAAAAGCTATATGTCTTTTATATTCAGAATTTTAAACAGTTTCCCAAGTAGACAGTAGAGAAAATAATTGTAAAATGTCTGTTAATTTTAATAGATATTCAATTGACCTAGAAATCAGTCAATTCTACCTTATTACTTTTTAATTGAATCAAGTCACTTTAATTAAATTAAGTCCAAATATGACACAACATGATAACTAATTTTCAGTAAAAGCTACAGTCATGATTTGCCTTCTCCAAATATCCGTTCTCTCAAGTAGTCCATTCGAGCAGCCTTTGTTGACAGTGCCATGGAGTTCCATTCGAAAGAAGGGATCTGTAAAATAAGTAATGTAGTCTATAAACAAAAGCTCAAAAGCAACAACAAAAAAGACCAGGGAAGGCTTCTAAGAATACTGAAAACGGCTGTAAGACCCTAAGACATTAGTTTACATAAGCATAGCCTTTGAACCCTTTTGGAAGGTTGTCCTTCATGACAACAGCTGGAAGACCCTTTTCTGCCTCAGAGCTTTCATGCTCCAAGTTCCTACATAGTAAGAATTGACGTTTTTTCCTATGTGCCTGTCATATTTATACACTAGCCTCTTTCTCTTACAACTCCGTCCATCTGCACAGAGCCTCTCTTCATTGTAAGATAAATATAAAAATCAAGAGATCGTCTAGAGACAATTTAAAAACTGATTTTTATTTGCTATTCTTAAAAAAAAAAATGGAGAGTATTCTATTTCAGAGATATTTTAATATAGCTTTTCTTAATATTAAAAAAAAAAAGTAAATCTATAACTTTCACCTTAAAAGAGGATACATGTAAAACCAATGTCTCTGGGGTTTTTAGAGGCTGAATTATAAGTATTTCATACCTGAATCACATGATAGCCCAAAATTTCCAAATGTCGTTTTTTCATAGCAGATTTTCCTTTTAAATGAGGGATGTTTCTACAAAATGCTCTTGAATCCAAAAATTCCAAAGCAATCCTATGTAAGAAAAATAAATATCTACTTTTGAAATTGAAGTGAGAAACTGAGTAATTACAAACACTTCAGAAACAAGGGTGTATCCTTATCAACTAAAAAAGCCAGCTGAGTATACTGTTATTTTTCTACTTAAATTAGTAATTAATGACAAGTAATCCTCTTCATTAGATTAAACCAAATTATAGTACCTACATGCTTTCATCTGTGTGTTTCTCTGTCCTGCATATATTTATTATTCACCTACCATATGTAAGGCACTGTGAGAGACGTAAAAATAAAAAGACACAGCTTATAGTCTACTAAAAAGCAGAGACATCACTTCACTGACAGAAATTCATCTAGTCAAAGCTACGATCTTTCCAGCAGTCATGTACAGATGTGAGAGTTGGACCATAAAGAAGTCTGAGTGCTGAAGAATTGATGCTTTTGATTGGTGGTGCTGGAGAAGACTCTTGAGAGTCCCTTGGACTGCAAGGAGATCCAACGAGTCCATCCTAAAGGAGATCAGTCCTGAATATCCATTGGAAGGACTGATGTTGAAGCTGAAGCTCCAGTACTTTGGCCACTTGATGCTAAGAGCTGACTCACTGGAAAAGACCCTGATGCAGGGAAAGATTGAGGGCAGGAGGAGAAGAGGGCGACAGTGGATGAGATAGATGGTTGGATGGTATCATCGACTCAATGGACATGAATTTGAGCAAACTCCAGGAGACAGTGTAGGACAGGGAAGCCTGCCGTGCTGCAGTCCATGGGTCACAAAGAGTTAGACACAACTGAGCGACTGAACAACAACAAACAGTCAAACAAAGAACATAAGATATACAGCACATAACTGTAATTCAGTGTGGGAAGCAGCAGTGTGCCTTTCAGAAAAGTAGAAAGGCATGGGAGGTCCAGAGAAGAAGATACTATTTATTTCCAATGAGGACAATGGGAAGGTTAGTGCTTTAGAGAGATTGCTCAGCTTTGGACAATGAAGGATGGCACTTAAGGTAGAAAACACAACAAAAGCAAAGGTTTGTCGGTAGAATTTGTGACATATATGAGGAATATATTCTACATAAACAATCCCTGATAGTTGAGCTCATTAAATTGTGTCAAATTTAGCATTTAGATAATAAAATCTGAAGCTAAGAGAAAGTTACTTTTCAGCTCCTGGTGGCAGTCTTGATCCAGCTATTTGAGTATTTGATTCCAAGTGTATTTTTGGCAGTTTTTCCAAAGTTGTATTATGGCTTGCATAAGGAAGAGGGTTTCTCCTTTTATCCAAGATACACTCAAAGTCTATAAGGAAGCACAGGAACCAATAATATGAATCAGGTAAATTCTTATAGGTAAAATTTTAAGATATATCTTAAATATTTACACATGTATATAAAGACACACACTCACAAACATGAAGAATGAGGTACCTCTCTAATTATCCTACTTGTTTCATTTATTTATTTATTTAGGCCACACTGTGTGGCATGCGGGATCTTAGTTCCTCTGCTAGGCATAGAATCCATGCCCCCTGCAGTGGAAGTGCAGAGTCTTAACCACTTGACTGCCAGGGAAGTCCCTATCCAACTTATTATATGATCCAAGAGCACCTCTCTTTGAAATCGATCAATAAAAATCAACCAGCAAGTATTACTAAACTGTTGGTTAGCATGAAGGCTATAATTAGCACTGCACTAGGCCAAATCACAGCTTCCTTGGTAGCTCAGACGTTAACGCATCTGCCTGCAGTGCGGGAGACTTGGGTTCGATCCCTGGGTTGGGAAGATCTCCTGGAGAAGGAAATGGCAACCCACTCCAGTACTCTTGCCTGGAAAATCCCATGGATGGAGGAGCCTCGTAGGCTACAGTCCATGGGGTCACAAAGAGTTGGACACAATTGAGAGACTTCACTTCACTTCACTTCAAGCCAAATCACATTAAGAAGTTTTATCATAATCCCTTTAAATCTCTTGTTCACAGTATGAGAAGCTAAACCAACTCATCAGAAAATTAGCAAAGACAAAGATTCAGGCAAGTCTTTCCTGTATGAACTGTACATTGGGTAACTAAACAGGTGACATAGGAAAGTTCTTTTTAGATAAATTCCAGCTAATAAATGCAGAAGAAATGATAGATATAGAATACCACTACTTTGCTATCCCTGATGAATGATGCATTTAGATAATAATTTAAATGGCTGCTAAAATCATTAGGTGAAAAGCTGAGGCGCAAACTTCCTAATGGATGAACTGATGACCTACAAACACACTGATGAATCTTAATATAATAATAGTAAGGCAACTAGAATTGTATGTCTTATGATAAGATGCAATAAGAAGCACATACCACTTATGAAAGAGCTGGCAAAAAAAACCACCACTACTATCCCCAAACTAACCTAGTTGACTAGTCTAGTCAAACCTCCAGATCTAACTATTGGTTTACAGGAAAAATGGGGGATGCAGGAGCATGTTGAATGACATCAAAGAACTGCAAATGGAAAAGTTCAAAATATGAAAAAACAAAAAAATTATTTTCAATAAATAAACTGTAAGGGGAAAAAAGACAGAAAGGTAGAAGTTAAAAAGACAGATCACCCAAAGGTAAAATTTGGATTCCAATTTTAACAAACAGTAAAATACAACATATACAAGATAACAGAAATACTTAAATGTTGATAAGCAATATAATGTTAAGAAATTATTATGAATAGTTGTAGAGATGAAAATGATGACACTATGGTTATATATCCTTTTAGATATACATTCTAAAATGATACATTATCTGTGATTTGTTTGGAAAGGATCAGGTGGGATTCTGGTTAGTGAGTATTGATCATTTTTAATGCTGGATGGGGGTTCATTATACTATTCTATTTTTGTATATGTATGAAATTTTTCCCATAATAAAAACAATGATAAAAGTATTTAAACCAAGAAAAAAAAAAAGAAAAATGAAAAAAGAAACAAGGAATGAAAAAGAAGAGTGGATTTAATTACCTATTCTTCAGGGAAACTGAGGCACTGAAGCATCTTCAAGTTAATTATGAAACATGAAATATACTTTTCTCATTTTTAAGAAAATGAATTCTGGAGCTAGAATGCATAAGTCATTCTGGCTTTGCCATTTGCCAGCTACATAACCTTGGGCAAACAACAATGTCTCTGGGTCTCAGTTTCCTTATCTCTAAAAATATAGTATTTGCAAAACTTAAAGGGATATAATAAGCTTATTATATATAAAGCACTTAAGGGCTTCCCTGGTGGCTTAGTGGTGAAGAATCTGCCTGCCAATGCAGGAGACATTCGTTCGATCCCTGGTGTGGGAAGATCCCACATGCTACAGAGCAACTAACCCCAGGAACCACAATTACTAAGCCCACGTGTTCTAGAGCCTGTGCTCACAAGAGAAGCCACTGCAACAGGAAGCGCACACACCGCAGCTAGAGAGCAGCCACGCTCACCACAGTTAGAGAAAAGCCCATGCAGCAACAAAGACCCAGCACAGCCAGAAATAAATAAATATAAGAATTAAATAATGTCTAATATAACAATCAATATGTGAGTGTATCAATTACTATTATTGTTGTTATATGAAATTACAGCATTGTTTGAAAGATGCACATAGCAGCAAAAAACCTTAGTAAACTATAGCACACTTATTCAATGAAATATATACAGTCACTAAAAATAATGTTGGATAATTACATTTGTTGACATAGAAAAAATATTCACAATACATAAACAAAGTTGGGCTTCCCTATGGCTCAGCTGGTAAAGAATCTGCCTGCAATGAGGAAGACCAGGGCTCGATCCCTGGGTTGGAAAGATCCCCTGGAGAAGGGAAAGGATACCCACTCCAGTATTCTGACCTGGAGAATTCCATGGACTACAATCCATGGAGTCACAGTCAGGCACGACTGAGCGACTTTCACTTCACTTTCAAAATTACATACTATAAAAAGTCATTTTGGTTTTAAAAAATCAGAACCTTTTAAGATACATATTGCTTGTACACATAACAAGTACTCCTTGTAAAATTTAGAAAGAAAACAATGTCATTAAAAATTTTTTTTAAAAAGTCAGAAAGAGAAAAACAGACATCAAAAGCAAACAGTGGTTGTCATGGGTGATTTTCCTTTTTTTGGTTATCTGTCACTTCTCTATAAGCATGTGTTATATATCATGTAAGTTAAGTGTTTTCTTTCCAATCTTAGTACCATTGTACCAAGTGGTACTAAATGATAATCATACCATTGTATTAAAAGGTACTAAATGGTAATCATACAATTACATTAATTATACCATATCTTTATATACAAATATTACCAATTAAATCTTATTTTTAATGACATATATTTTCACATAAAAATAAGCTTCTTGACAACATGAGGTATTAATACAAATATGAACTGGCAATACAGTGGGCTTGGGACATAATAATCCCAGTTTCCTGACCAGGGATCAAACCCATGCTCCCTACAGTAGAAGCACAAAATCCTAACCACTGGACTACTAGGGAATTCCCTGAAAATCTTCAAGATAATGAAATAAGTTTTTTAAAGTTTTAAAATTCCAACTGATGAGATGATTCTATTTAGTCTGATTTTCTGAAAATTGTTAATAACCTACCAAAGACTTACCTATTGTGTAGTAATAAGGTGTAAGAACCGAGGCTTTCACAAAATTGATTCCTCCCAGTACCTCTGCTAACATTTTATAAATCTGCTGTTGTGCTCCATTCATGCTGCCAAAATCTTCATGAAATAAAAACAATTAGTTCACTTAAAATAATCAGTTTTTGAATGAAAATCATTCCACATCTACAAACTAAAAAATAAAGATTAATATTTCAAACAAGAGCCTTGCTGTATTAATACTACCATATGCAATGATATTAAATTCAATACAAGTTCTTCAGCTTTCTACCAAAAGAGGTTTAGTGTCCTAAATACTAAGAAATTTTTACAACACAAATTTCATCTACAAAATGTTTTCCTTAAACAAGTTATGGCACTCTTGGGAATTCTGGTGTCATGATAGGCTAAACAATAAAAACAGTGCATACTACCTAATAATGTGCTTTAGAATTAAACTTTACTTTCTGACCCAAAGAAAACTCAAACCTTTATTATAATGTTGTTGACAGAAGCGGTCATGAAACCATGGAATCTGATATTCAGGACATTCCAAGCAGACTGCTCTATTTAATTCCATAAGACGAAATTGGACCTTCATATTTAGAGATGAACATATAACTGAAATTTTAAAAATACATTAATAGACTTTGAACTCAGCAAAGACAATTAATTTTTCACATTCATTTATCCCCATTAATGAATGTAACTTTTATTTTCATATTATAAAATTCATTTCATTTGTATATACATGTTCTATATTTTTAAATTATTACACTCAATGGGATCATTAGGACCAACACCTATGTTGTTCTCCCTAATTATGAACATTAAAACCATATTTTAAAAAATACTGCCAAAGAATATTCATTGACCTAATATTCCACATTTAGCAATTTATCCTAAGGAAACAAAGATGAGGACGATGTCAGATTCTATTAAAAAAAAAAAAAATCATGACATCAAAAAAAAAAAGGAACAGCATGGAAAATTTTTCAAAATATAGTTCAGTGATAAAAAGCAACAGACAAAAGTGAATATATACATAATTCAAGTTCTGTCTTAAAACATATAGCTATATCTACATATATATATATATGAAGGCAGGAGACATAAAAGAAACATTCTAAAATATTAAAAGTGGTAGTTTCACTTGGTGATAAGATTATGAATAATCTTTCATTTTCTATTTCATACTGTTCTATATTCTACAATAATAAACAGAAAAAAATCAGTATGAACATTTAAATGCTTTAAGTAGTTAGGCAGAGCTGAAACTTGGATTTAAATATAAGTGATAATTTATTAAATTGTTGATACATACGTTCAAGTTGAGAATCTAATCTGGCTAAGAATTTGATGTTAAAAATTGCCTTCAATAGATCTTCTGGAAAATATTCAAGTGTGGCCAAAGAGTAACCAAGAAACACTAACACTAGAGGATCCAATACACCTAAAACAAAATTAAGAAAAAAAATTAAAATGTACAGCTGCTTCACATACATGTAAGTACATACTTTATTCAGGTAAAACCAGGTTTTTAAAAAATGATACAAACACAGCCTTGACAAAATTAATCTATACTGTCACAAGTAAGGATGGTAGTAAAGTGGTTACCTTTGGGTGGGGGAAGAACAGGAAAGAAAGCCAGGAAGGTTACCATGCTCTTGATAATATTCTATTCTTTTGATCTGGGTACTGATTTCTTACATGATTCAATTTCTATAAATTCACATATACTATATATATGTGTGTGTGTGTGTGTATGTGCATATGCATATATATATATAGGATGTATAAACATGTCTGCATTATTATTTTACTTCCAATAAAAGTCTTTAAATGGCCTTGAAAAGAGAAAGACTGGAAACAAAAGGCCATACTACCAAGCCATCAGCCACTGCAACCACCTACAACGGTGCACCCAGAGGGGAATTCAGGATGAAGAAAAACAGGACACTGGCCCTAGGTAGTTAAGATTCATATCAAAGGAAAAATTTCAGTGAGCCCAGACTCTTGTATTTTACCACACATAGAAAAACACTAAAATCATTAACTTGAGACATTTGTTTTTGTGATTAACAATAACTTTTGATGTTCAAGTACACGTGTTTGTTTTTGTTTTTCAATAAAGACTCCTATATATATTGTGGGGGGAAAAAAAAGAAACAAAAGGTCAGTAAAGTATGTAAAAATAACCAGTCTCTATATACGGATGCTAATATTGCTCAGACTGTGTGGAGAATCATTCTAAGCACTTTATAAATATTGCCTCATTCAAAACCTCACTTTAGTGTACAACAGGAATGATTATTATCTCCACTTCATAAACCAAGTGTACTGAAGCACAGAGAAGTTGAATGACTTGCCTCAGCATGACTGGCCAGTGGAGGGTGAGATTTAACTTGGGAGAGTCCAGCTCTGGAGTCTGAACCACTGTGCCACGCTGCTTTCTAGGGCTCTCAGACCTCCAGGCTGAGGACAGACACGTATGAAGATCAGGTCTCACCTAGCACCTCCTCCCTGACATGTCAGCCAGCACCACACTGTGTATCCCAGAGTATAAGGCTTGCAGTTACTTACCTGACTTGCCTCATCCAAGAGGAATTTCCTTTCTCTCTTTTTTTTTTTTTAATTTTTTATTGGAGTATAGTTGATTTACAATGTTGTGTTAGTTTCTGAGGTACAGCACAGTGATTCAGTATATATATAACTATAATGGAAAAGAGTATGAAAAAATATATATATCAACAAAGAGAATATATACATATATTCTCTTCTTTCATACTCTTTTCCATTATAGTTTATTACAAGACACTGAATACAGTTCCCTGTGCTATATGGTAGGAACTTGTTTATATACTTTATATATAGTAGTTTTTATCCACTAATCCTAAATTCCTAATTTATCCCTCCCATCCCTTTCCCCTTTGGTAACCAACCATAAGTTTGTTTTCTATGTCACGAGTCTGTTCCTGTTTTGTCAATAAGTTCATTTGTATGATACTTTAGATTCCCCATATAAGTGATATCACATGGCATTTGCCTTTCTCTGCCAAAAGACATTTCTGATGAGAGGGAAGGGATCACCTAAAATGCACCATTAGCAGCAAATGTTCTTACACAGGATAAAAAAAAAGATGTTAAATATTCCAGTTGTTTTGCTGAGTTTATTTAATAAAGCAAGATCAAGTCACAAACAAGGTTACGTGATGTTCTCTACCAGCAAAACTGATCTGTCAAAACTAATGTTTATTCAAAACTAAGTATCAGTCCATAAATTACTTAAAATTCAGCTTTAGATCTCCAAGAATTTTGCAATCATTTTCACAGTAAAGTCTTCAAAACTCAAAGCTGTACTTCTCAAACTCTCATCTCTTATATCCTTTATTTAAAGAAAAAAAAAAGAATGTACTCTCATTTCCTTCTGGTTGTTGACACACAACTGAACAACCAAGAAAGCATATGCAAAGTCTCATCTTTCAGTTTCAAGTCTCATCTTTCTATATACAGTCTATTACTAAAAGGGGAGTATATATGAATGCCACACATGCATACATCTGTACATGAATAAACACACACATGTCACAGTCTTTTTACTGTAAAGTAAATAATATAAATTTAATTTTTTTATAATTAAATTTATAAATTTTTTATAATTTTACCCTATAAAAATAAAGTAAAATGTCACACGCATTTTACTTGTCTATTAGAGACATAAAAATAGGTCAGATATAATCTGGCACAAAGATCCTACAAAATAAATATACCAAAGTCCATGAACATCATACTGACATCATTAATATATTTATACTGTCTCACACAGCCTAACTAGAGGTCTATAAGCCTAGAGAAACATACCATAAAATAGAGCCTAACATCTTATGCTGGACACAGAAGCCCTCAGGTAAGTATTTGTTGCTGGATAACAGAATGACTATTTCTTACTCTCCAGGCACAGCAAAAAGTTCTGAGGAAAGCCAGTTTCTTCTCCTATCAACTTGGTCTCCCCCATTCCATTCCTGCCACACTGAATCTGCTGTCCCACAAAGAAATCAAGCATGTTCTCACCTCACGGCCCTTTGCACTTGCTTTTCTTTATCCTGGGATGCTCCTCTCTCACTTCATTCAATCCGTGGTCAATGACATCTCCTCACTCCATCTGGCCCGCCTCACTGTCCTCCATCCTACATACCTACCCTGCTCTGGTCCTCTTAGACTCTTATCACCATCTGACCTTATGAACTTGCTTATTATGTATGCCAGTGTCACCCCACCAGAAAGTAGACTCAATGATGACAGTCTCTCGGTTTTTCACTCTCTCCTATATCTCCAGTGACTAACGACCACCTGACAGTACCTGGTGAATACTGACTGAAAAAGCAGCAATTCCAGAGCCAGACATTTCGCCTCTAAAACTCTCACATTATCCTGACATGCAAGAAGTATGAATCTGAGAAGAGAAGCCCCATAAAGCCTTTTTCTTTAAGGCCAAATAGAAACAAATACAATTCAGGACCAAAATAAATGAAAAGAAAAACATAATTCCATGTCTTTGCTGTCCTCACATACTGCTTCTGCTAAGTCCAGTAGTAGGAAGGAATATTTCTATTCCACTTTTTTCTGGTACTAAAACACTATTTAGACTTTTTAAAGAGACATAATAATCAGCACCAGAGCAACAACCTTTCTGACAATTAATAAATATCTATAAAGGACCTTAAGAAATATTTGTTTTCTATTTTTAAAAAACCAAAACTATTAAAATTGACAGAAACAATCCAATGTTACATGTCTCCAGAAATGATACAAATATCAGACATACAGCACCACATACAAAACATTTTTGCTGAAAATGTTTACCCTGAATCTAACCAAGCATCTATAACTAACTTCCAGTTTACCAGGGATACAGATGATGGAGGAGCAAGTTAAAAGAAAGCAGTCAAACAAATCCAGAATGTGGCACAACCCATAATAAAAGGCCAATCCCTTTTACAAAAAACATATCAAGAGATAAAAAGAGAAGGAGAAAGTGATATAGCCCAACATTGTTTTCTTTAAAAAATTAATCAAAGAAAATTTGGTGACAATTGGGAAATTTTTATTATGGATTGAGTAGGCAGTAGCTTCCCAGTTGGCTTAGAAGGTAAAGAACCTGCCCACAATGCACGGGCTTGATCCCCGGGTTGGGAAGATCCCCTGGAGAAGGGAATGGCTACCCACTCCAGTATGCTTGCCTGGAGAATTGCATGGACAGCAGGCTATAGTCCATGGGGTCACAAAGAGTTGGACATGGCTGAGTGACTAATACTAGGTAGTAAGTGGTGCTTGTTCATTTTCTTAAGTGTGATACTGGCATTGTGTTTACACAGGAGAATGTCCTTATAACCTGAAGTATTTAGGGCTGGCACTTCAAATAGTTCTTCGTACACACAGATAGACACACACACGCAAACACACAGAGCAAATCTGGCAAAATGTCAGAGAGATAAGCTACTGGAATGAGTGAACCTTGACTGGATTCTGTGTCCAAAATAATCACTGTAAATAAGGTATTTGGGGAATAATGAGGGAGACTTAAAAATAGATTGTATATTACATATTGTTGTTGTTTAGTCTCTAAGTCATGTCTGACTCTTTTGCAACCCTATAGATAGTAGCCCGCCAGGCTCCTCTGTCCATGGGATTTCCCAGGCAAGAATATTGGGGTGGGGTGCCATTTCCTTCTCCAGAGGATCTTCCAATCCAAGGATCTTCCAACCCTGTCTCCTACATTGCAGGTAGATTCTTTACTGACTGAGCTATCAAGTTGAGCTATATTATATATCAGGGGACAATTAATTTTCTCTGTGTGATAACAGTATTGTGGTGACTTAGGAGATCATTATTCTTAGGAGGCGTGTGTCTAAGCAATTAGATGTAAAGAGTCACATTGCCTACAACTTACTTTGAAACGGCATAGAAAAAATGAGAGCAAGAGAAATAATAAAGCAAATATGATAAAATGTGAACAATTACTGAATCTATCTAGTGAGTTCACAGGTGCTACTTGTTCAATTCCCTTCTTTCTAATGCAAATTTGACATTTATTATAATAAAAAAGTTTTTAAAAATGGATCCAAAACACTTTTTTGAAGGTATGAAACTCGTGGCTATTTTTGTTATCCTTTAAAAAAGCAGTATGTCTTAAGAGTAGCAGCAACAGTATTCTCCAACCTCCTCATCCATGTAGTACTAAACAATATACCTACTTAAGTAAGAATTAAGGTGTTGAATGCAAGTTCCAAAAAATTCATCCCTTTGAGGTGGATCATAGTTCAGGGTGCTGAATGGAAGAACAATAGCAAGAATTGCAAAAGGATGAATCTGTAAAAAATAGAACAAAAAAATTACTGTTTAAACCTCAGCAAAACAAAACAAAATTTAGCCTAATTATTATCCTAAGCAGAACTCTTTATCTAACATGCCTATAGTCAAATGAACATGCCCACAGTTAAATGACACATATATCACTATTAATAAGTTCTCTACCTATCTATAATCTATTTAATTCCATCACTAATCTCTAGTAACTCTAAATATTAATGCAGAAAAAAATAAATCAGATAAGTTACAAATTGATTTTATAAGTATAAAATTCTGTTCCAGAATTCCTTAGTCATTGAAATGACAAGAAGATAGTATCACTAATTTCCATGATATAAGTGCATTTTATAGACTCATCATATAATAAGAAAGCTTCCTAATTTATAATAATAATCAGACTTCATTTTTCTTTCATTCTTTTTTTAAAATTCATTCATCCAATACTTAATAAATGGCAGGCACTATGCTAGGCAAAAAGAAAGACTATTATTTTCACTTATTAGAAATACTGTCTTCTAAGTAAAAGCCATATTCTGATATATATAATTGATTTTGTAAGTGACTGTTTTCTCACATAATTCAAAAAGCATCACTGGGGCTTCCCTGGTGGCTCAGTGGTAAAGAATTCGTCTGCCAAAGCAGGAGACACGGGTTCCATCCCTGGTCTGGGAAGATCCTACATGCCAGGGAAAAACTAAGCTCATTTGCTACAACTGCTGGGCCTGTGCTCCAGAGCCTGGGCTCCCAGCAGCAAGAGGAGCCACTGCAATGAGAAGCGCATGCATTGCAACCAGAGAGCAGTCCCAGCTTGCCATAACTAGAGAAAAAGCCCATGAAGCAACTAAGATCCAGCACAGTCAAAAATAAATAAATTAATTAAAAAAACCAAACAAACAGCATTTTACAAGTTCCAGAAATAAAACTGTAAGAAGACACACCAACAATTCAATTATACTAAAGTCAGTGAAGACCTACAATTTTCTCAGTTTTCACATTTATCTTACTCTTTTGAATAGTTTTAGATAGTAAAAGTATCACAGGATTATAGAAAATAAGAAAAAGAAAGCAAAAATCATACATCTCCGTTATCCTAACACAACTATTATTATTTACCAGAAACTAGAGCTTAATTTTTAAACTTCAAATTCCAATCAAGTTCTTCAAGCACTTATTGTAAACATTTATGCTTCTAGAAGTTGACAATAATATGCAACATTTCAATTTCACCTTTTCAATCTGTTGAAGGACCACTGAGGCTATCTTATCAAGCAGTGAAGTACTGAGGATGTTGGTTCTAGAAATAAAAGATGCAATCCCTGCAACATTGATGTAATTAATTTCATCCATCAAACGCTGTAAGGTAACAACTGTTTCTTCAAGAAGTGAATCAGCAAACCAGTCTCCTTTTAAAGATTTAACTTCTTCCCACAGCAGATTCAAACTTTTACATTCTTGTAGTCTCTGATGACCATAGTGATCTAATTTTTGAAGTATTTTCAACTGTTTCCCAGGACTATTATCCAGATACATGTGATCATACTGAATACATCTTAAAACAGATGTTGCAAAAATATTCAGGTCATGTAAGTCACACTGTGGCAAAACTGCTTCAATCTGAGACATCCTCACGTCGTCCAGGTGAGCAGAAGGAAGCAACGAAAGAGCATAGACCAGGATGGCAATCTCACTAGGTATGACACTGACTTTCAAATAACTACAAAGAAAGAAGGAAAAATAAAAAGAACAGGATGAATATATCAGCAACAAAACTTAGTTATAAGAATTAAAACGTGAATATATAATTATTATTACACTTAATAGGTGTGATAGTTTTAAAATAGAATTTTAAAAGGGTTAGGGGCTTCCCTGGTGCTCAGTGGTAAAGAATAGGCCTGCCAATGCAGGAGATGAGGTCGATCCCTAGTCCAGAAGACCCCACATGCCCGGATCAACTAAGCCTGTGTGCTACAACTACTGAGCCTGTGCTCTCGAGCCCGGGGCCTCAACTGCTGAGCCCACATGCCGCAAGTACGAAAGCCCGTGCGCCCCTGAAGCCCACGCTCCACAAGAGAAGCCACAGCAATGAGAAGCCCACGTACCACAACTAGAGGAGCCCCTGCTCGTCACAACTAGAGAAAAGCCTGTGCAGCAACAGAGAGCCAGTGCAGCTGAAAATGAATAAATAAATGGAAATAAAATAAATCAAAAGGGTTACATAAGTTCAAAGAGGACAAGTTCCATAAAGGCTTACTAAGGGAAGCCTTGCGATGTTCTAAAGCATATCCTCCATTTTTTATTCAAAAATAAAACCACAGTCCCTGACAAACAAAAGGTCAGTGTTAGAACAATGTCTGCAGAGCTGCTGTGAGAGACAGAATTTGTACTGAATTTCTGGATATGACCTGTCAGAAGCTGGTATGACCTAGAACAGGCAAAGAGTGACCACTCAGTAACAGTGATCCCCTTCTTCTGCAACATAAGAAGCCCAACCTTTAAAAAAAAAAAACAGACAAAAAAGACAAACAGTGCATACAACTGACCCCACTCTCTACTCCTCCGTCCCCAAATCCCTATGCTCAGAGCCCCACCACCAGGATAGCAGTTGTTAAAATACAAGTTAAAAAACGGGAGCTACAATTCCAGAAAAATAAATGACCCAATCAAAAAATGGGCCAAAGAACTAAACAGACATTTCTCCAAGGAAGACATACGGATGGCAAAAAAACACATGAAAAGATGCTCAACATCACTCATTATGAGAGAAATGCAAATCAAAACCACAATGAGGTACCATTACATGCCAGTCAGGATGGCTGCTATCCAAAAGTCTACAAGCAATAAATGCTGGAGAGGGTGTGGAGAAAAGGGAACCCTCTTACAATGTTGGTGGGAATGCAAACTAGTACAGCCACTATGGAAAACAGTGTGGAGATTCCTTAAAAAGCTGAAATAGAACTGCCATGTGACCCAGCAATACCACTTCTAGGCATACATACTAAGGAAACCAGATCTGAAAGAGACACGTGCACCCCAATGTTCATCGCAGCACTGTTTATAATAGCCAGGACATGGAAGCAACCTAGATGCCCATCAGCAGACGAATGGATGAGGAAGCTGTGGTACATATACACCATGGAATATTACTCAGCCATTAAAAAGAATTCATTTGAATCAGTTCTAATGAGATGGATGAAACTGGAGCCCATTATACAGAGCGAAGTAAGCCAGAAAGATAAAGACCATTACAGTATACTAACACATATATATGGAATTTAGAAAGATGGTAATGATAACCCTATATGCAAAAAAAGAAAAAGAGACTCAGATGTATAGAACAGACTTGTGGACTCTGTGGGAGAAGGCGAGGGTGGGATGTTTCAAGAGAACAGCATCGAAACATGTATATTATCTAGGGTGAAACAGATCACCAGCTCAGGTTGGATGCATGAGACAAGTGCTCGGGCCTGGTGCACTGGGAAGACCCAGAGGGATAGGGCGGAGAGGGAGGTGGGACGGGGGACCAGGATGGGGAATACATGTAAACCCATGGCTAATTCATTTCAATGTATGACAAAAACCACTGCAATGTTGTAAAGTAATTAGCCTCCAACTAATAAAAATAAATGGAAAAAAAAAAGTTGAAATTAAACATATATAGGTGATTGATCTTATTAAATAGAGCACATTTCTTTCAGAATTATAGTTTCAGTCTACAAAGGAAAAAGTTCTGACCATATACACAATAATAAAATATATTCGAAGGTTAAACCAGAACTTCTTGGAGACCCATTAGGGATCAGTTCAAAGCTAAAAATAATTTACTAATAAATGTTCCTCACTTTAAGTTTCCTTCTCAGAATTTATTAAAAGGTACATCTTAAAGACCAGTAGTTTTCAGGTTGACTGTCACTGTTTTATGTAAGATTTTTTAACCCTGTTTAGTTTGTAGATCTGTGATGCTTAAACTGCATACCAATGTGCTTCTTGAAAACTTTCCTTTAGGAAAGTGTATCAGTAATATTGAACAAAGGGAGAAAAGTCAGCCACATATCTTTTCCTTAAAGTTTTATTTTCATTTCTATTGTTTATTATAAAATAAAATTGGTGCTTTTGGTTGGTTAAAAAAAAAAAACGGGAGCTTTTAAAGCATCTTTTAAGTTTAGAAGTACTAGAAGAGATAATCAAATATAAATTAAAAGAAAACTGATTTACTTTTAAACATATTAAGTTAGCATATTAAAATAATGATGATATTCAAGGCTAGCAAGGGTATATTGATGCAGACTTTCTCATTCACTAATAGTAAATTTTAAAAAGTTGGTGTAATCTTTCTGGAAAGTAATTTAGCAATATAGCTTAAGAACTTTAAAAGTAACTACATCATTTGACATGATCAATCTTTGTCTAGTAAACTAGCCTAAGAAAATAATCTAAAATGAAGGCAAACATTTTATGTTACGTTATTCATCATATTTTTTATGTGGCTAAAATTTGAAAACAGTCTACATACCCCAGCAAGGGGAATAGTTATGGGAATTATGATACAGTCATATGATGGGCAATATCCAATCACTAAAAACATTTACAAATAGCTTTAAATGATGTAGGAAAATGCTGTTAACATAAAGCGTGTGGGAGGAGGAACACAAAACTGTACATTCCTGATTCTCAACTACAAAAAAACATATAGATGATATAAGTTTATACCACAAGCAAATAAACCAACCAAATAAACCAAACTGTTCACCATAAATGAAAGGGCTTACAAATGATTATTTTCTTTATACTTTTCTTTATACTTTATTTCTTTATACTTTATTTTCTTTTTTTCTTTATACTTTTTTCTGTTTTCAAAATGATTTTTTTTTCACATGAGATGGGTCACGTGTTGCCTCATAACAGATCTGAGGGAAGCACATCTCATATAATAGTGTGAACACCCAATTATTAAGCTTATGAACTACAATCAAAATGATTTTCACATAATATCTGGCCCATTGCCTGACACAAAGTAGGTACTCAATAAGTACTAAATGAGTATTTTATTCTTTTTTTTTTTCATTTATTTTTATTAGTTGGAGGCTAATTACTTTACAATATTGTAGTGGGTTTTGTCATACATTGACATGAATCAGCCATGGAGTATTTTATTCTTATAACCACAAAAAATTAACATACTATTTTATATAAAGAAAAGAAAGACCTCCAGAGTTGTATCTGTTTACAGAACTGACCCAAGAGGCAGGAACTCTCAGTATTTGCCAATCTTGTGATACTAATCTGAAAATAAACTTCCAACAGACACAAACACGCCAGACTCCACTTGATGCTTTCCTTATGGCGTTCCCTAAAATTCCAAAACTCACAATAGATGCAATTGCGTTTATTTACATTCTACCACAAATCTACCAGCATGGCTAAAATAAAAATGTACCAAGTGTTGGTGAAGATCTCAAGAACCAGGAATGCTCACATTTTGCTAGTGGTAAATAAACTGGTACAGTCACTTTAGAAAACTATTTATAGAGTTTCTTGGTGGACTAGTGATTAGGATTCCGGGTTTCACTGCTGTAGCCCAGGTTCAATTGCTACTTGGGAAACTGTTTAAAAAAAGAAAAGAAAAAGAAAGAAAGACAAAATAGAAAACTATCTAGCAGGATCTGCTGAAGGTGAACATAACATATGTATAATCAACAATCATATTCCTCAGTAAATACCCACAGAGATGTATACATATGTTCACTAAAAGATACGAATGAGGATGTTCACCACAACAGTATTTATAATACCCAAAAACTGGAAATAAATCAAATATCTATCAACACTAAAATAGACTAAAAAACCCTGTTACATTCTTACAAGAACATATAGCAAACACATGGGTAAATCTCATAAATAAATGTTAAACAAAAGAAACAAGGCACTAAACAGGCAAAACTAATCCATGCAGTTAGAAGCAGGGACAACAGTTAGCCTGGGGAAGGGGGTTGGGGTAAAGAAGAGAGAGTAGGGTCATGAGGAGGGAATATGTCTATTTTATGTAGATAGTTCAATATATCTTTTTTTTTTAAAGAACATATTATTCCAGTACATGAATTCCCTGGGTTCCCCAGATAGTTTCAGGAGATAGTCACACATTTATGTGAACTATTTTAACTAGATTGTATTCCTTCGTACAACCTGCACTGAAGTGGGGGAAGGGTTAAATTTAAAGCTACGGAGGTATGTAAGGGCTCTTGCTATGCAGAATTACTAAACTTCAACATTGCCATATATGCTTCAAATTTTTTAATAAAGTAAACAAAACATTACCGGTAAAGTGAAATCTCCTGTGATACTCCCACTCCTGCCTTATTTTTCTGTTAGCATACCTGTAGGCCAACAGTATTGTGTAATTTACTATTTAAAGAAACACTGTACTGGCCAAATAAATCACGTCTCTGGGCCAGTTTATGATATCTAATTTAGAACATAATTACATTAAATTCTTAATACAGAGGCTATATGAAAGAGGATGTTATTAATAAATATGGAGTGAAGAAACAATCCTGTATTTAATCACCTTGATAAGAAAGTTATTTCTTTAAGAAAACAGTGAACCTTCTTGTAACATATCTAATATGCTCAATTTTCACCTGATAAAGTGCTACCTCTTATTCCTCAGTCCAAATCCTTAACCATAATAGCATATCATTTTATTACAGTAAAAATCATTTTCAATTATATGTCAGTCTTGATTACAGCATAAAGTCACATGCCTGGTCTTTCAAAAATCACAGTAAGAAATCAAACTAGTATGGGAAAAACAGAGGGGGGAAAAAGATTAATCTGGTTTTAATTTCATTCAAGTCATTATTTTGATCTTTAAAGTCAAAATTTTTAATGGAACACTCCATTTTAAAGTAATATAAAAATCAATGGAAAACTGAATAACTTATTAGTTGAAATATGAATGCTATATTCATAGAAATGCAAAAATTTTTTAATTATAAAAGGGAAAATCATATGAAAATACTTTACTAACACTGCCACCACATATTTTAGTTTTAAAATTTTAAATTTTAATATGCCTTGGACTTCCCGGGTGGCTCAGTGATAAAGAGTCCACCTGCCAATGCAGGAGACACAGGTTAGATCCCTGATCCAGGAAGATCCCACATGCTATGGAGCAACTTAAGCCTGTGTGCCACAACTATTGAACCTGTGCTCTAAAGCCCAAGAGCTGCAACTACTGACACCACATGTCACAGCTACTGAAGTCTGCGAGTCTAGAACCTGTGCTCAGCAACAAGAGAAGCCACTGCAATGAGAAGCCCGTGTACCACAGCTAGAGAGTAGCCCCCACTCACTTCATTTAGAGAAAAGCCCAGGCGGCAATGAAGACCCAACACAACCGAAAATAAATAAATAAAATTTAAAATAAATTAATTAATCAAATTTCAATTATTCCTGAAAACAGGCAAGTAAGCAGGCTAGAGGCCTACAAATATGAGTACTCCTAAACGGAGTTTTGCCTTCTTCAGCAGCTCTAATCTTTTCATGGATGGTTATTCCATTCCTGCAGGAAAGGAGGAAGGCTTGGTTTTATGTGTTCATGCCCTAAAACTCTCATCACCCCACTGACCTCACTTCTATTTGAAAATATATCAAGCACAAGCACTAGCAGGATGGGCAAGGCAGCAAGATAAGTGTCTTAACAATTTTAATAATAATCTACCCATTTCTGCCTTCGAAAGTTCCAACAACTTTTATATAACTAAACTAAACTTATACATAACTAAATAAAACAGGCTAGATTATACAATGAAAGACTTAAACACATCTATTTTAATCTCACCTAAGCAGTAATTCTCTGAGTTTCACAAAAAGCTCTTTACTTTGAAAATGTAGAAAAATCAACGCTTGAGTTATTCTCAGTAACTCTACTGGTTTATAGTTATCCAAATGTTTATGCAGAACTGAAGTAATCCTAAAAAGAATGATAAAACATGTATTATAACCAGTTCACTCATGTACTATTATTAAACTTTTACTGAGGAGCTGTTTCATGCCAAACATGCTCTGTGCTAGAGAAATAGCAATGAATGACCCAAAGTTTTCTGTTCTTGAAGAACTGTCTCAAGATGACGACAGAAATGTAAAATGAATCTTCTTCCTTAAATCCAGGATGGTCCTCTAATGGAGACGCATAAAAGCAATGAGAAATACAAACAGTCAATAAATTGGAGGAACTAGGGCAGAAGGAATATTTTTTAAAGGAATATATAACACATAATGAAATAATAAATATACACAATCTGAACCACATATTTTTGTTTCTTCTTAAATCTCAAGTTTAAAAAGCCAATATGTCGCAGTATAATTTCAAGGTAACAACTATAGTATGAAACAATTCAAGTTCATGTAGATAGATGTTAACAGTTCTACAGAAACTGTCCTTTTAAAAAGTCACTTGTACTTTATGCTCTCCACTTTCCTAGATTGTAATCCTCTGCCTGAGAATAAGAATAGCAGCAAATGAAATGAAAGATGTTGTAAACAACTAAAAACCCGTTTTGAAAAATTATTTAGAAAATAAACAGTGACCTAAATGTAAATTTCTTATTTCTTCAAAACCAAGATTATAGGGAAAAAAAACATTTTTTTCTCAAAAAAAAAAAAAAAAGCAACTTATGAATGTCAACTAAACTTAACACCAAGAATTTCAGGAAAGTATACTTTTTAATCAGACGTGAATTTCTGCTTTCCATCTCTTCCATTGCTCCCATCACTGCCAGGGCCTGCTGGCCAGTCAGCTCCTCTGACATGAATAATATAGTTGATTTAAGTCTAGAAGGAAAAATATGTTAGAAAATTAATGACTAGTTTATAAAATTTTTATAAATAATAGTTCTTAGGCAATAAATAGAAATAATATAAACAAAAACTAAATTAAAAAATAGATTAAATATATAATTCCAATTTCCTCCCCACCCAATTGGCGATAACACAAAATATTATTAAATAAAGAAAAATGTATTTTCTTCAAAGTAACTAAGGCCTTAGTATAATCTTAAACTGTCTCTTAAAAAATAAAGATAAAATGTTTTTAATTAATGATTTTAAAATAAGATATGGTTTCATTGGCTATAAAATACAATAATTCAATGAAACTATTCAGTAGGAGAGAGCTATGGAGCGGAAAATTGATATTTCAATATTGCCCCAGTTTTTTAAAACTTACTAAGATCTAACCAGGAAGTCAACATACCTACATACTAACAGAAACCTTAACACTAAATACTTATTATAACACTATAAACTGAAAATTTACAAAGTTGGTCCATTTTTAAATCATCCAAAGTAGTTCAGTGATAAGTATATAAGTGTCTTTTAGAATAATTTAGAAGGCAAGTCCAAAATATGAAATCTGAAGAAAGCATGGCAAACTAATTGTCTAGTCATCCTGGATGGTTCCACACCATCCTTTTCACCAACCTTATCAAGTATTGCAAACCCAGCTTCTTCCCAGAGCTTTTCCCCAACCATTTTAATCCACATTTTTCTCTTGCTTTTCTGTCTGCCCACAGCAATTACTATCTATATCTATTTAGTATACTCATAAACCATATTGACGTGTCATGGTATTTGCATATTTCAATTGCATATTTTTATCCTTCCAAGTGGAATAAAAATTCCCTGAAGTCAGAGACTCAAAAATTTGTACTGCCCTGGCATAAGAGATTTTAACAGCACTGGGTGACAACAAAAAACTTCCAATAAAAGTTTTTTAATAATCATCTTATTTCCATCTTGATCCAGTCTCTTAAAATGTACTCTTAAATTTCTTCATGTAATTTAGAGGACTCTCAAAAACTCTCTATGAAGTCTTTGCTAACAGAAACAAGGACAGCTACATATACCCAACATGTAATTCCTGGAACCCCTGCTTAACTGAATCTATTAATCACACTTAATCTGTTTGCTCATACCTAGTAATCATGTATTAATTTAATATTTGCTCATCTTTACAGGGGCTTCCCTGGTGGCTCAGTGGTAAAAAACCCACTTGCCAATGCAGGAGACACAGGTTGAATCCCTGGGTCAGGAAGATCCCCTGGAGAAAGAAATGGCAACCCCTCCAGTATTCTTGCTGGGGAAATTCCATGGACACAGGGGCCTGGGCGGCTATAGACCACGGGTTCGCAAGAGAGTTGGACACTACTTGGTAACTAAACCACCACAACCACCAATACCAGTCACGTGGCCTAAGAAGGGAGAAGAATAGCACTGATAGGATGTTCTCCTTCATCAATGCTACGTTGACCCCCAGGGGATTACTGACCCCCATTCAAAACACCTTAGGAGACTGAGTTTGAGATATAAATTAGAATAACCAGAGAAAGATCCAGGAAGCAGAGTACTCAACTCCCTTCTACTTTTGAGTGGAGTGACTTTTCTGACTTCTAGAACTGCAAGATCTATGCCTGAAGACTCCATATATTCTCAACAGGAAAAGTAAAGCGCTTTTAGCTGAACTTACTGTTTCTTTTCTTCAGGTCCTGCCATGGGTCCCAACGCTACAAACAATTTTACACAGCTAGCAGGGTGGTCAAACAGAGGAATCATTTCTGTTAGCCTCTTCTTAGTCATTAAAATAAACTCAAAACTATGAAACTGTAGAGAGTGGTATAGACTAAGTATTTTACTGATGGAGTCCAAATCAAGATGGTTCATATTGCTCAAAAATACTTTATTACACCTTTCTAATAGTGGGTAATAACTATATTTAATATTTCGAAGAAATTGTACTATTCTTCTTGCAGTGTTGACCTGGGAAGAATCCATAGTGTCAAAAAGTAATTCTGCTTTGTTCACTAATTTCTCTTGAAAACGCTGTGATATTAAAGAGGATATGCTGACCATCAAAACAGACAAGGACCTGAAAGAGGAAGAAGATGCAAAAGGTTTTACATGATTTAAGAATAATGAAAAATTCTGAGACTAAATGCTTAGAAACAGAAAGGAATTGATAAAAATACTATAGGCTTTGTACAAAACTTCTCTTTTAAATACTAGTGGAACTTGAATTCTGATCTCCTAGTAATCAAAAGCCTGCAGACAAAAAAAGGATTGAATAATTTTTGTTGAATGTGTATAATGTCTTGTTCTATAGATAAATACTTTGAAGGGAAATATTTTAATGAAATTTACTCAGAAATCACTCTGTACCAACAGCCAATTGAATGCAACATGGAAGGTCTTGTTCTACATTTTCAGAAGACTTTGCTTTATTACTCCTTCCTCTGTATTTATAATCTACCAGTAAAAATATTGGCAAAATATTTCTCACTAATGAATGACTTCATATTTTTAATGTTTCATGCTATATTGATATTAATATATAACAGTAGGACAATACTGAACATGAATATTTCTTCACTCAATAAACACTTTTAAGAAACATAAATCAATCTTCTGGTACTGTGAAAGACGCCAAAATTACAAAGGTGAGATTTCTCTTCTCAAAAAGAGACAGTTCTTACATGATACAAAAATCATAAAACTCTACATACAAGAATACACCTAATAATGAATAAAGAATGTAAAATGTAAAAGGTATGATGTAACAAACATGTGGGGATGATAATTAGAAAACATCTACAAAAAAGACATGAAAATGTGAATCTAAAACTATCTCAAACATTCCACTATCTCAATTAGTGGAACTATTGGAAGTTTTTTGTTTCAAAATTTCTTCAATCTTTCCAATAAAACAAATTATTTTTTAAAAACCCAGTTGTAAAATACGTCAGCTTCTCTAATCCAAATGTTTAATGTTAACATCAATTAACATTAATTAGTAACCTAGTGTTGCTATTTAATTTAATCATAAAGTTGGATATGATTTTTTTAAATTGTATTTGTAATTGCAATTTGGAGTGGGGAAGTACCCAAAGATTTCATTAGATTCTCAAATGGGTCTATAAGAATTTTTTAAAGTTGAAAAAATTTACAGTGATTTTTATTATCTCTGTTTTTATAAGCTACTTCCATGTGTGTGTGAAAATATATATAAGGTAAAATTTACCATTTTAAACATTTTAAAGTATACAGTTCAGTGGTATTAAGTACATTCACATTGCTCTTCAACCATCGCCATCATCCACTGCAGGATTTTTTCATCTTCTCAAACTAAAACTTCTTACCCATTAAATAGTAACTCCCCATTCTCCCCTCCTTCAACATCGGGCAACTACCATTCTACTTTGCTTCTGTGAATTTGACTGCTCTAGGTACCTCATGTAAAGGGGATTCATACAATATCTGTCCTTTTGTGTCTGGCTTATTTCACTAGGCGTACTGTCTTCAGGGTTTATACATGTTGTAGTATATATCAGAATTTCCTTCCTTTGAAGGTTGAATGATACTCCATTGTGGGTATATACAAAATTTTGATTGTCCATTCATTTGCTGATGGACATTTAGGTTATTTCCTCCCTTCAGCTAATGTGACTAATGTTACTATGAACACTGGTGTAGGCTACAAACCAAACTATGCCCTCTCCCCACAAATTTATAGGTTAAAGCCCTACTGGCAATATAGCCCTACTATATTTAGAGATAGGGCCTTTAGGGAGGTAATTTAAGGTTAAATGAGGTCATAATGATGGCAAGCAAACATGTTAGCTTGCAAGTAAGGAAAAATCACAGAGTTCAACAACATGTGTCATAGTTTACATATTTTATGTCTACTTCCCACAGCTACATTGCACAGTAGATTCCTGTCTTGTAGGTGAGGACAGTGAACTTGCAAGAGAATAAAGTCACATAGTTAGGAACTAGCAAGTCTAAGTGTGTGTGCATTCAAAGCCAAGACTCTTCCCACCACAACACAAAGCCCCTAAATAAACTTACCTTAAGTCCTGTATGTTTTCCAAGTTCCTATTTACAATATCAGCTATTTTTCCCATTAATGGACTATAATATAAATGTTGATCTGCCAGGCAAGAGGAAAATTTTGACAGCACACTAATATCAAACCTATTAAAGGAAATATACAAAGGGGATCCTTACTATTTATTTTCACTTAAAACATAATACACAGTTATAAAATAGGCAAAAATAAAAAAAAACTAATATATTACTAACATAATATGAATTTTCTAAAATGGTGATTATCTATTCTTAAAAGTAACCCAAGCTAAGAGTTAAAAAGCCAGATTCTTCTGGAAGATTTTTAAAAGCGGGGAAAAAACACTCAGAGTTATTTGAATCATTTTACTTATTAATTTTTTCAGGGGACAGAACAATTTCAACTCAAAGTTGTATGTGAAAGTGAAAGTTGCTCAGTCGTGTCTGACTCTTTGCCACCCCATAGACTGTAGCCTGCCAGGCTCTCTGTCCATGGGGATTCTCCAGGCAAGAATACAGAAAACAAAAAAATTCTGTAAAGCAATTATCCTTCAATTAAAAATAAATTTTAAAAAATCACCCATTAAAAGTTTCTGCAAAAAACAAAAAAGAAATAAACAACTTTAAATAAAAGACATTGCTTTTTAGCGCACACACACAGAAAAAGAATACTGGAGTGGGTAGCCATTCCCTTCTCCAGGGGATCTTCCCAAACCAGCGATGAAATCCAGGTCTCCAGCATTGCAGGTGGATTCTTTACCATCTGAGCCACCAGGAAAGCCCATATTAACACATAAAACCAAAAATATTTTAAAAATAAATAGAATAATTTCTACTACAATCATGCTTGAAAAACTTGATTTTTTCCATAGGAAAAATGACCCAATTTCTTCAACAAAAATGGCAAAACAAAAGAGCAGAAAGGAGAATTGTTATAGATTTTTAAAGACTTTGAATTCATTAAAAGACAAGCATAAGGAATTTCACAACAGCATGATATGTAATAGCAAAAAAACAAAAAAATGCAAAACAGCAACAATCTTAATGTCCATCAAGAGTACAATGAATAACTGCACATATTCCTAGAATTCCATATAGCAATAAAAAAGAATAGTGCAACATCACAGAATCTTTAAAATACATTGAGTGAAAAAACTAGGTATAAGAGTTCTTACTATAGGATTCCATTTTTATAGAAAGAAAACTAACTTCTGGTGTTAGAAGTCAAGATAGTGGTTACTTTTGGTACAGAGAAGTGGGGAGTGCCTAGAAGAGAGCATGAAAGGAACTTTGGGGAAACTAGGGATATTCTGTGCTTTGATCTTGGTGCTGTTACACAGAAGCATATGAGTATTTTCAGTACGTGAAAATTTATCAAGATGTATACTTATGACTGGTATAACTATAAAAATTGGTATATTTTTACGATATTCTTTAATGAGGATTTACCAGAAAAAACAAAAGCAGAGAAAAACTTGAGACATGGCAACTAAATGCAATGTGTATACCATGTTTGGATAGTTATTTAAACAAACTGCCTTTAAAAAGACCTTTATAGAGCAGGCAAAGGAATTTGAACTCAGACAGTTATTAGGTGATAATAAGGAATAATTAATCATTTCTCTTAGGTATAACAATAGCATGGTGATTATACATACTTTTAAAAGAGTGCTTTTTGTCTCTCAGAAATACACACTAAGGTATTTACTGGTAGAATTATACCATAATTTTAACTATACTGAAGGGGAGGGAGGGAACTGGAGATGATCCAGACAAAACAAGACTGCTATATGTTGGTAATTATTGACACTGGATGATGGGTACATAGGAGTTCATAATACTGATCTCTCTACCTTACCAAAGGACAAAGATTGGTCTCCTTACCCTCAACAAAAAGACAGTTACAGGTAGAGAGAACGCAAACCTAGACATGAGAAGACAGATAGGTTTAGATAATGAGATTAACTATAATCACCATTCAGTAAATGGATGTGGAACTTCTAAGCTCAGAGATTCGTTGGGTCAGTCCAGTTCAGTTCAGTTGCTCAGCTGTGTCCGACTATTTGTGATCCTGTGGACTGTAGCACGGCAGGCCTCCCTGTCCACCACCAACTCCGAGTTTACTCAAATTCATGTCCATCCAACCATTTCATCGTCTATCACCCCCTTCTCCTCCCGCCTTCAATCTTTCCCAGCATCAGGGTCTTTTCAAATGAGTCAATTCTTTGAATCAGGTTGGAGGATTGGAGGCCAAAGGATTTGAGTTTCAGCTTCAGCATCAGTCCTTCCAATGAATATTCAGGACTGACTTCCTTTAGGATGGACTGGTTGGATCTCCTTGCAGTCCAAGGGACTCTCGAGAGTCTTCAACACCACAGTTCAAAAGCATCAATTCTTCAGCACTCAGCTTTCTTTATAGTCCAACTCTCACATCCATACGTGACCAATGGAAAAACAATAGCCTTGACTGGTGGGACCTTTGTTGGCAAAGTGATGTCTCTGCTTTTTAATATGCTGTCTAGGTTGGTCATAACTTTCCTTCCAAGCAGTAAGCGTCTTTTAATTTCATGGCTACAGTCACCATCTGCAGTCATTTTGGAGCCCAAAAAAATAAGTCTCACTGTTTCCATTGTTTCCCCATCTATTTGCCATGAAGTGATGGGACCAGATGCCATGATCTTAGTTTTCTGAATATTGAGCTTTAAGCCAACTTTTTCACTCTCCTCTTTCACTTTCATCAAGAGGCTCTTTGGGTCTTCTTCGCTTTCTGCCATAAGGGTGGTGTCATCTGCACATCTGAGGTTATTGATATTCTCCCGGCAATCTTGATTCCAGCTTGTGCTTCACCCAACCCAGCATTTTGCATGATGTACGCTGCATATAAGTTAAATAAGCAGGGTGACAATATACAGCCTTGACGTACTCCTTTCCTGATTTGGAACCAGTCTGTTGTTCCATGTCCAGTTCTAACTGTTGCTTCCTGACCTGCATACTGGTTTCTCAACAGGCATGTCAGGTGGTCTGGTATTCCCATCTGTTTAAGAATTTTCCACAGTTTGCTGTGATCCACACAGTCAAAGTCTTTGGCATAGTCAATAAAGCAGAAATAGATGTTTTTCTGGAACTCTCTTGCTTTTTCGATGATCCAGTGGATGTTGGCAATTTGATCTCTGGTTCCTCTGCCTTTTCTAAAACCAGCTTGAATATCTGGAAGTTCTCGATCACGTACTGTTGAAGCCTGGCTTGGAGAATTTTGAGCATTACTTTACTAGCGTGTGAAACGAGTGAAATTGAGAGGTAGTTTGAGCATTCTTTGGCATTGCCTTTCTTTGGGATTGGAATGAAAACTGACCTTTTCCGGTCCTGTGGCCACTGCTGAGTTTTCCAAATTTGCTGGCATATTGAGTGCTGCACTTTCACAGCATCATCTTTTAGGATCTGAAATAGCTCAACTGGAATTCCATCACCTCCACTAGTTTTGTTTGTAGTCATGCTTCCTAAGGCCCACTTGACTTCATATTCCAAGATGTCTGGCTCTAGGTGAGTGATCATACCATCATGATTATCTGGGTTGTGAAGATCTTTTATGTATAGTTCTTCTGTGTATTCTTGCCACCTGTTCTTAATATCTTCTGCTTCTGTTAGGTCCATATAATTTCTGTCCTTTATTGTGCCCATCTTTGTATGAAATGTTCCCTTGGTATCTCTAATTTTCTTGAAGAGATCTCTAGTCTTCCCCATTCTATTGCTTTCCTCTATTTCTTTGCACTGATCACTGAGGAAGGCTTTCTTATATCTCCTTACTATTCTTTGGAACTCTGCATTAAATGGGAATATCTTTCCCTTTCTCCTTTGCTTTTCTCTTCTCTTCTCTTCACAGCTATTTGTAAGGCCTCCTCAGAAAGCCATTTTGCTTTGGGTACCTTGCAATCTGTTGGGTACGTTGTTTAATTTAACTCAGCCACACCACAAAAGCCTACAGAGCTTACCCTGCAGTCATGTACGACTACAATTGTAAGAATTTATCATTGTTTATGCTTTAAAAAGCAATATGCTAAAAAAGAATAATGAGGATGACTGGTCCTCTCATCTACAAATAGTTACTGTTTCTTATCTTAGGCAATCCTTTCTCTTCTGCCCTAGGTTACTATTTGGTTTGGAGGGAGATTTGTTCTGTGGTTTCCAAAAGCTCCTTTCTCTTTCTCAACTTGATTTTCCTTTCGCTTACTAGCATTTGTTTTATCCCACCAGTAATGGACCATGGCTACCCAGAACCCTTAATTTAAAAAATTCTAAGTTTTCAGAAATCACCAAAATGCCCTCTGGTACAGCTAAGAGCCCTCAGCTGTTTTATAAATGAAGAGTTTTTCATGTATTCTTTTATTATTTTTTATATATTCTTACAAAATATAAATAGTATAGTACAGAATATAATAGTCTTCTCTGTATTCCAAATTTTCTAAATTTTCTGGCAAATTAAAAAGCAGAGACATTACTTTGCTAACTAAGATCCATCTAGTCAAAGCTATGGTTTTTCCAGTAATCATGTATGGATGTGAAAGCTGGACTATAAAGAAAGCTGAGCACCAAAGAGCTGATGCTTTTGAACTGTGGTGTTGGAGAAGACTCTTGAGAGTCCCTTGGGCTGCAAGGAGATCCAACTAGTCCATCTTAAGGAAGTCAGTCCTGAATATTTATTGGAAGGTCTGATGCTGAAGCTGAAACTCCAGTACTCTGGCCACCTGATGCGAAGAACTGACTCATTGGAAAACACCCTGATGCTGGGAAAGATGGAAGACAGGAAGAAAAGGGGACAACAGAGAATGACACAGTTGGATGGCATCACTGACTTGATAGGCATGAGTTTGAGCAAGCTTCAGGAGTTGGTGATGGACAGGGAAGCCTGCCGTGCTGCAGTCCATGGGGTCGCAAAGAGTTGGACATGACTCAGCTACTGAACTGAACTCATAATACTCTGAATAAATTTCATATTTTTATAGATATTTTTTATTTTCTCTCTCTTTTTTTTTTCTATTTTAATTTTTTTTACAAACTCTGTGTCGAGGGCAGACTCGCAGAAGGGAGCTGCTCTGCTATGAAAGAAACCCCGACCCAGAAGTAAATTGTCTATGAATGCTTTAGCACCAGGTTCCCCACAAACAGGTGAGCAGACAGCCACCTTTCTGGCTGTTCCCTGTTTTAGATGATCATTGATTACGGAAGTATGCTAAAGATATAGCCATGTGTAGAGTGGGAAAGATATCTGAATTGATACTATTCACAGTAGTGGACCTGAAATATTCTAAGACATCTATGAGCTCTATTCATTGCATCTTCATAAAAATGAAGTGATAGGCATATAGATGTTGTTAAACAGTAAAATCTTTACTTTCTCATAAACTTCTTCTTCTTTCTCTTTTTATGAACATCTAGGGATTTTACTGAGAGCCTATCACTCAGAATTTTTTCCTTCTGAAGCAAAACTCTTTCAGAAAAGAAAGTTTAAAAGCATAGTCCAAGAATAGCAGTGACTTTAGCTTAATTATATTTTGATTAATTATATATGTTTAAAAGCACTTACATTCTGCAGTCTTCAGGAATATTTGAAATATTTTTCTTTCTCTTAAGGAAAAAAACACATTCCCCATTCTTTTCCTATAAGATTTTACTGTGCTAGAAAAACACACCTTAACACAAACAAAAAACCCTAAAACTAAACTGAATTTAAATACATTTTTTTCTTTTTAAAAATTTTTTGGCCACATCACGCATCATGCAGGATCTTAGTTCCCCAAAATGGATCAAATCCGTGCTCCCTGCAATGGAAGTGCAGTCTAACCACAGGATCACCAGGGAAATTCCTAAATACATTTCAATAAAGCTTGATAGTTAGGCAGCAGCTCCCTATTTTTCCCCTATAAGATTTCACTGTGCTAATCCTGAAAAGAATAACCCTGATCTCAGCTGAAGAACCCAGAGTACTTGCCTTTCCAGTCTTCTCCATGCTTCTGTAACAAGCGCTTCAACTAACGAGTCATGGGCCTCAATACCAAACCTCAATAAAATCAAGAGAAAACAGTTTTCCACATAGAAACATTTTAAAATTATTAAAAGCACATATGCAGTAAGATTATAATGCAAAAGTGAACCTCAAGTTACTACATTCCTACACAGTCAGCCCGTATTTCTGGTCTGATCCCATTTCATTATTCTGATTTCTCAGTACTACCTAATAAACACCTATACTTTATCCCATGCCCTTCTCATCCTTTTATCTGTAACATTTCAATGCCGTCCACTGAACAATGAAAATGTTCAATGATATATTTTATCTTAAAAGTACATCTAACATGTACTACTTTGCTCTGATTACAAAAAGATTTTTAAAAGAGCAAGCTTGTAAAATAAAGAAAAACTTCAATTGGGTAATAAAAATAATTTATAACTCTGCTACTCATAAATACTCACCATCATTAATTTGGAGCATTTCTTTTCAGTTCTTTTTCTACACACTTAATGAAATATATGTATTTCTTTCACATGTTTGTATCTTGCCTCTTTTAGTAAGTTAACACTATATTGTGGACATTTGCCCATTATCTTTACATTTACTTCAAAACATAATTTTTAATGGTTATATACTATTAATTATGTGAATAAAATATCATTTAAACATTTACCTACTTACTAGGATCTTAGTTTTTCAATATTATAAATAATGCTGGAATGAATAACCATGTACAGGAATCTTAACATATATCTTAGATTACTTTCTTAGGATAAATCTTAGAAACAAAATTATTTTGTTTATAGGTATATCACTATAAACAGTATTATCACTGATATAAAACGTATATCATTCTTTTTTAGTCTAACCCTACCCCCCAGAATAAGAAAAGCCTTAAGCCCCTTTCTGTATACACTGAGCCCTAATAAAAACAACTGTATCTCTGCTCTGTGCAGTGCTGATATCTATAGTTATTTAGGCAGTATTTAACTTCAATAATTTCCACCAATGAGACTAATAAACAGATTAATTTTAACTTTTTTGCTCTTTTTTCTTTGTACAGCTGCTGAACTCCTCTCCAAATAATGTAAAATTTCTTTTCTTTTTAAATTTTTTCCAGCTTTATTGATGTATGATTAACAAATATTGTATATATTTAGGTTATACAGCATAATTTTTTTTTAAAGAAAACATGATTTTAAACGTTCATATCTTATTCATTTCTAAATGTCAGAGTTCTCGGTCAGACTTGAAAACACTTCAAAAACAAGTCTTTGGCAACCTCCAAATTATTCTTGGTGACCTTAATATCCCTCTGGCCATAGTCTTGGGATAGAGGGCATATAAAAAGTCACCTTCAGTATTAAGTTTTGATACACATATACACAGTGGAATGATCACTGTAATCAAAGAATATCCACCAAGTATCTTTAAAATATTAGATGATCAGGAAAACTATTTTAAGGGAAAAAAACACATTGCTTTTCATTTCAAAGAGATTTTTATAAAGTTAAAATATAAAAATAAACTATAATCATTTTTATAAAACCTAAAAGCACATTACTTACTGTTGTATGATGTATAACACATTCACCAAGGTACTGTCACTCATGAATCCCATTTTAGTTGCAGCTAAATTACGAAGAGTAAGAAATTGGGGATGGTTTCTGATACAGTCCACATTTTTTACAGAGCTGGTCTTCTGCTTTTGAAACTGCCAAAGCATACTAAGTGCATATCCCACTTGTTTTTCTGAAAGTAGGGATTTGTTTTTTTCAATAAGATGGAATATTTGCTCTTCATCTGTACAATTATTCATCTGACTAATAAATGGTTCAAAACTAAAGGGTCGAAAGTGAAACACTCTCCAGGAGAATGGACGAATAGCTCTTAGGCAAAGCATATTGTAAACAATGAATCTAGGGGAAAAAAACTATCTTCTCATTCACATCACAAATTTTCTTAGGTAAAGAAAACCATCTGCAACTAGTAGTCAGGTGCAATATGCTGGTATAAAAATAACTGTTTTTCCTTCATGTATTTTGCTTCCATTATGATGACTCCAAATCCCATTTCAATATGCAGCTTCTGTAAAGAAATTGGTTTAACATGGTCATACTTATGATATTAATACCAAATTAATTCCAAAATTCTCATTACAGGAACAATTTTTTTACTGAAATAACTACAGACTTTGTTCTTAGCCTGAACCAGAGAGCAGGATTTGATTCAAAGCAAAATGTCCAGGAGAAGGAGTTTCTTTCTGCATTTCATCTAAAAAAATGTTAAGTCTGGACTTCCCTGGTGGTCCAGTGCTTAAGCGTCTGCCTGCCAATACAGGGGACGCGGGTTTGATCCCTGGTCAGGTAAGATTCTATGTGCTGTGGAGCAACTAAGCCCTTGCACCACAGCTACTAAAACCTAGAGCCTGTGCTCCTCAACAAGAGAAGCCACTGCAATGAGAAGCCCCTGCTGGCCGCAGCTAGAGAAAGCCCATGAGCAGCAAGAAAGGCCCAACACAGCCAAAAATAAAGAAATAAATGTTAACTCTGACACATAAAGTTTTCAAATTTGACTATAAAACCAGATGGGGTTGGGGGACCCAAACCAAACTCTTTGCAATAAATAAATATACTGCCTTTATAGTTTTTACAAAGAGTAGCCATGAATTCATAGCCACAATTTTTCAAATGTTTTTTTCAGAAGGATAGTCTCTGGTATATTCAATTTCAAGATAATTTCTTGCTTCTTTCTCCTTGTACTCTAAAAACACTCAAACAATTTAATCACTATATTGGCCTTAGGTAGGTTTTAAGCAATAAACGAGACGATTAGAGCCCAATCAGGAAATATGAAGAAATCAAGTAATGTATCAGGGTGTGGTGAAGCAACATGAAAACCAAAGATTATTGTGAAAAAGAATAATTTGTTTTTAAAGTATGTCTAAATTTCTAGTTGAGAAGCAATGGTTAGAAAAGTTGGTTCTAAAACCATGTCATCTAATACTTCTACAACGGTTTACAACGGACTTTTAAGTATTATCCCAATAAATTCTCTCAACCCGCCAGAGATGCTATCGTTTGAATTTTACAGATAAAAGCTACTTTCATAAAGATTAAAAATCTACTCTAGTACTAATGAAGCTGGGACAACCACATAGTTCTTTCACTCTTTCAACCTGAAGAGTCTCATTACATGAACAAACCGATTTTAAAAGTATGCCTCAGAATCCTCTCTATCGCTATGCCAAGCTGTCTGCACGGAAGAATAAACGATGAGACAATATTGGCTACTCTGTGGCAATCTGCACTGAATCCTGACCCAGCCTGACTTGCGACACACATACACAAAAATCCACGCAGAAAGCAAAGTATCTTCAAGAATCTCCTGCCTGTCTACAGCTGAAAGACGAAGTAGCTCACGGCTTAGAATACCAAGTCTAACCGACCCAGCGAACCGACCTTGGGAAACTCACTCGACCAAAGGAGGGATCTCGGGACTATAGAGACAGGTACCCGCCGCGAACAGGTATAGTGCAGGGTATATAGTGCAGGAGCACCCTTTGAAAACGGCAGGCATCCTCGGCGCTTGGCACACAGTGGCGCTGAACGAATGTGGTCTCCCGGTCCCGCTGGGAGAGAGCTCAGCCCTGCCTAGTCCTCCGCGCTCCGGGAAATACAATACCTGGAAGGAAGCCTCCAAACTCTGTACCCTGGAACTGAAACGTGCTGGGTACAATAAGAAAACCTATCGCCGTCACCCGATCCTGATTTGCGGGCAAATTCTTTCCTCAACGCCAGGGAACTTTTCTGGAGGATCGCGGGGAAGGCTCAGAACTCATTGCTATTCCTGGTCCCCTAGCATGGGAAGTAACAGGCTTGGTTATGTCACTCACGCCTCCCTTCTATCCCAGACCGTTCTTCTGGTGGTGTCCTTTCCAAAACCCGGAAAAAAGGCCGAGGGAGCCCAGCGAGTACGGCCAAAAGTATGCACTCCATGCCCCAGGGGACCTCGCGTCGCGGGTCGTGGAATAGACGTGGCATACGCATTTTGGGGGAATTCTGGGTGTTGTAGTTCCTCATTGAGAGAGACTTGGGTAGCACGTCGTAAACCATTGTAATTATAGGTCCTTGTTGTTTAGTCGCTAAGTCGTGTGGGACTCTTTTGTGACTGCATGGACTATAGTCCACCAGGCTCCTATGTCCATGGGATGGATTTCCGAGGCAAAAATACTGGACTGGGATGCCATTTCTTCAGGGGCTCTTTCTGACCGAGAGATGGAACCTGCGTGTCCTGCATTGGCAGGTGGATTCTTTACCACTGAGCCACCAGGGAAGCCTTTAGGGTATTTGTTTCTCATCTATAAGAGGTTTTCTGCCAGTCCATGAAACACTGATATTTTTATAACATACAATATAAATGAATATTTAGAAAAGTGAAATATGAAAACTTAAATGTGGAAAAGACATGTGCAGATTTTTATTTCTTATTATATTCAACATGTATGGAATAGCTATGGAATGGCTATGAAAGCATCAAAACTTCTCCCCATTTCTGCACTGTGTCATGGCAAACAGGTACCAGTTCTAGACCACAAATGTTTTTAACAGCTTTATTGAGAAATTATTTACACACCATACAATTCACCCATTCACAGTGTAAAATTCAGTGACTTTTTGTAATTCAGAGTTGTGGAACATCACCACAATCAATTTTTGGCCTTGTATTATCTTGAAGAAGTTTAACAGGGATTTTGCTCTAGATTGGCTACTATGAGGAATTTACTGGGCATCTTAATAAATTTTATCTAGAAGGCAGAAAGAATGAAGCTAAGTTAAAGCTGGGATTGGTAAAGAAGCAGCTGTCACTCCTAATAGCCACAACAGGTAGATGTTTGGTCATTTTTTGTGGTTTGGACACTACTGTATTTTGTCTAAGTTCAGGTATGATTACGGTATGGTCTTGTTTTGGTCCTGACGCATCAGTCAGAAAGTGGCCTTGTTTCATGTTGGTATTCTGTGCAATTGTTATGTTCAGCAGAAATACCAAGGCTAAACTATGAGTGCCAGACCAGCTCCCGGCAACAATAGGCCTAAATGATAGTGACAGTCTACTTTATGGCCCAACTCTCACATCCATACATGACTACTGGAAAAACCATAGCTTTGATTATATGAACCTTTGTTGACAAAGTGATGTCTCTGCTTTTTAATACACTGTCTAGGTTTGTCATAGCTTTTTTCCAAGGAGCAAGCATCTTTTAATTTTGTGGCTACAGTTACCGTCTGCAGTGATTTTCATCTGCAATGATTTTGGAGCCCAAGAAAATAAAATCTGTCACTGTTTCTACTTCTCTACTTGTCATGAAGTGATGGTACTGGATGCCAGGATCTTAGTTTTTGTAATGTTTTCCTGATGGCTGAAACTCAAGGCAATACATTCTAACCTAATCATGCAATGTCGAGGCCCTGGAGTATGTTGGAATTACATATAAGGAACGTAAGGTCCTGACTGACTATGTGGAGGGGAGTTGCCCTTTGATCTGGCCCACTCACCAGACCTGTTATTTAAGAGAGAAATAAGTCCTTTGTTCCTTAAGCCACCATATTGTTGGAGGTAATACTTCCTTTTACTTGCAAAAGCTTCCTTCTTAGAACAATAAACCATGTCAAATTTATTTGGGAAAGTTTTGGATTTCAAAGACCATTGAACTTTCAACATGCCTGGGACCCAGCAAAGCACACCAATTTTTCATTCGTTTAAGTAAGGACATCTGGATAAAGAAAGCAACTACCACAGTCTAAGAAAAGATGTGGCTTTTGGGATTTTAGTTCCCTGACCAGGGATTGAACCCAGGGTCCCAATAGTGACAGCGCTAGAGTCCTAACCACTGGATCAGCAGGGAATTTCCCCCCAAAACAACTCTTCTTAAGAATAGTGAAACCTTTGTCATAGTTCACCACCAGCCACCAGTCTTTGAATTGACATTTGTAAAGCTGCTTCAAGACTTCTTTCAGGAATCCTCTAAAATGTGACCATTTATAATGTATACTATATCTAAGTAATTATTAATACTTTACTATTAAATAATTCTTCAGTCACTTCATAGAAAAGTCTATCTCTCTAAGAAAAAAGTATATCCTGGAACAAATTAGTAATACTACCTTTGCACACCTCAAAATGTTAACTATGGTATAATCTGTACTATATCCTCAAAGATTGTCTCTAACTGAATGGATGAGAAAGAGGGAAACTACACCTATGTAATAGCAATGTTACACATTACCTCTACAAGTAGAAATCTAAGAAATGAATTTGTATATCACAGCTAAATAAAAGTATATTCTAAGGAATCTGAATTAACAAAAGTCAAACCAATGCTTTAAAAAAATCTATCTCAATATAGTGCCCACTATAAATTAGAATTTTAAAGAATTGCCCTCATCACTGCGAAGTGTGAACTCACATAACCTCTAAATAGTTTGAAGATGAGTATGACGCTACTTTCCTGCAATGAAAGCAATGGCTTAAAGTGGCCAAGATTGTCCTCTCAGTTTTACAGCTAATAAACCGGTGAAGACCCTTAAGTGTACCTACCACATGCTCAGCTGTTGTTGATAATTACTAATTTACCAAAGATAAAGGAGTGAAAATGTTTAATGATTGTAACTTTCTTTTCATACAATAATAAAATCTAAGTCCTCTGTTTCTTTTTGTTTGTTTTTACAGAAAAACAGTTTTATTGTAAGAAACTGGCTTACAATTGTGGGGGCTGGAAAGTCTGAAATCTGTAGGGTGGGTGAGTAGGCTATAAGTGCACATAAGAGTTGATATTGCAGTCATGAGTTTGAAATCAACACAGCAGGCCAAGCATGTTGGAAACCCACGCAAAGTTTCTATAAT